GTGATTTGGGGGGAAAGGGCCGCGACACGGGCTTAGAGGCCGTAAAGCGGTGCAAGACATGCGGAAGTGGCATTCGATTCCGACCCTTGCTTCCCAGTCGCCATCGCGCTGTGACGTTGGCAATGAGCCTGCCCACAAACGACGGGAACACGCTGACGCGCACCATGATAAAAACAGCGCATTGGGACTTAATTATTATCCTTTCTACATCATCTAGAAAAGGACCAATCGCGACGTGTAAAGCATAAAGCGACGCCGCGAACTAAGGAAGCAAGTAACGGACTTACACGGAAGACTAGAGAAGCGACATCGGATAAAACGAGGGAGTAGCAAGCAGAGGCAACCCTATACGGAGACAGTGTTTCGAAAGGCAAACGATCTCACGACAGAAATAGGCATGTAATGAGCGCGAGCCCTAAAAGGCCTTGCCTGAAGCAGTCAGAATCTGTTTAAACTCACGGGAACAAGGAACCTCAGTCATGACGTGGACGAGAAGGATAGTGATAGGTCCGTTTCCCCGTGACACCTCAGTTTCGAGATCCGCCATGGCGACGGAGAGCGCATCCTTGCTGACGTCCTTGTACTTGGTCACCTCCACCACCCACGTCACTTCCGACGCCGTCGGTGACATCCCAGCTACCACCCAGCTTCCGATATCACGCGCAACCCAGGAGACACCACAACCACGGCCTCAACCAACTATTCCTGACAGAAGTTAACCTGAGCGGTAGTATGACGGGGTCATATTAACATAAATAGCTAATGATACAAACATTCTAGACCGATTTCAGCCCATCGAATGCCTTCAAGTGGACACCGCAGCAAGAATCTAGAAGGTACGGTATGAGCCATAGTTAGCTACTTTAGGACGTGTGTGGGCAAGATGGGCCTAAAGCCAGGGTCTCATGTAAGCTAAGGAGCCATCGACTGCAAAGCACTTGAAGCTAGGTAACCAAGTTCGTGCTGGCGAAGTTATCTCTGGTTGGGTTGGAAACTCAGCTTGCGTCACTGCCCCAAAAGCAATTGCACAACACTTTTGGGTACTTGAGACTTTCGATGAGTTGGGGGCATTTTAGGTTTGGCTCCGAACCAAGTTTCCAAGCCTAGATGGTTCGGTACCCCCAGCGATTTACGTTTGCTTCGCACCCCTCGCTTCACCCCACTTCGAACCTTACAACTCGCCAACCAATCAAAGCCACACTTTCACCATCAATTGCAAAGCACTTGTAGTACGTGAGACCCTGGCTCTAATGCAGCCTTTCCAAAAGCCTCACAACGCTCAGGCCATGTCCATCCCATAGGCCCGACTCCGACCGACATGTCTGTATTTGCTGTGTCAGCGACCCTTTCCTCTGTGTCAAACCCTAGGTGTCTGTCATGCAGCTCGTGAACTTTGCTCGCCGTTACAGACAACTCTTGTCGCAGCGGAAAACTGACGACCCAATCTTACTTGATCTGCATCGCGACCATTCACCATAGGTATGACCGCCGTGTGCGATCAGAAACGAGCTGTCGCTAAAATGGAGAACACCGTCAGTGTTACCGTCTCACCCGTTAAAGCCGCGGTGCAACTATCTTAGGAACAGTGACAAGTCGGGTTTTGTCTTGTTCCGTACTGGTAGTCAATTGGCTAGCGAGTGTGTAAGTTGTGTTGCGATGAAAACATCCAAGGCGAATGTCGCGAACCTCGAAAGGAAAAGTGGGGGGGAAGGGGTGGGGGGAAGGGAAGGGGGGAACACACACGAAACGGGAAATGGGACCACATCAACACCCCCATACTCCCTTTCGCTGATTGTTCTGCCAATAACACCTCCACATTGCAAAACGATAAACCTTATGTTTCATAAAAACTTTGCAAAATACATATTTCACTTACAAGGTTTATTTTGGTTTATTTATCCATCCATTTGCAAGAGTATTATTTCTAATGGGGAGAAAGAACATCAACTGTACAGACCTGCAAGACTTGGAATGTCATATTGAAATCCTTATCATGCAAAGGATCGCAAGCAAACAACATGGCATAATCCAATGAGAGCCGATTTTTACACTACGATCCACTATTGGTGCAGCTGTCCATTTACAGGGAGGAGGGGGGAGGGGAAAAGGGGAAGGAAACGTTGCGCATTATTGAAGAATGTTAGGTAGGGAAATTGAAGAGAGCATGGAAACTGAGATATGATAGACAGCCTTCAGTGGCCAAGCAAAGCTGGTACTGTTGGCTGAATTGAACGAGAGAACGTAGTGGAAAGGGAAGGGACGGTAGTGGGGGAAGGCGAGGGGCAGGGGAGGGGGGAAAGGGATGGCTGAGAGAAGCGTGAATGGTGGGAGAGGACAGTAGGAAAGGGAAGGGATGTGAGAGAGGGGGAGGAAAGGTGGGAGGGAAGGACAGGGGGAAAGGGAGAGAAGGACAGGGGGAAAGGGAGAGAAGGACAGGGGGAAATGGAGAGGAGGACTGGGGGAAAGGGAGAGGAGGACAGGGGGAAAGGGAGAGGATGACAGGGGGAAATGGAGAGGAGGACAGGGGGAAATGGAGAGGAGGACAGGGGGAAAGGGAGAGGAGGACAGGGGGAAAGGGAGAGGAGGACAGGGGGAAAGGGAGAGGAGGACAAGGGGAAAGGGAGAGGAGGACAGGGGGAAAGGGAGAGGAGGACAGAGGGAAATGGAGAGGAGGACAGGGGGAAAGGGAGAGGACAGGGGGAAAGGGAGAGGAGGACAGGGGGAAATGGAGAGGAGGACAGGGGGAAAGGGAGAGAAGGACAGGGGGAAAGGGAGAGGAGGACAGGGGGAAAGGGAGAGAAGGACAGGGGGAAAGGGAGAGGAGGACAGGGGGAATGGAAGAGAAGGACAGGGGGAAATGGAGAAGAGGACAGGGGGAAATGGAGAGGACAGGGGGAAAGGGAGAGAAGGACAGGGGGAAAGGGAGAGGAGGACAGGGGGAAAGGGAGAGGAGGACAGGGGAAAAGGGAGAGGAGGACAGGGGGAAAGGGAGAGGAGGACAGGGGGAAATGGAGAGGAGGACAGGGGGAAAGGGAGAGGAGGACAGGGGGAAAGGGAGAGGAGGACAGGGGGAAAGGGAGAGGAGGACAGGGGGAAAGGGAGAGGAGGACAGGGGGAAAGGGAGAGGAGGACAGGGGGAAAGGGAGAGGAGGACAGGGGGAAAGGGAGAGGAAAACAGGGAGGGCACTGCCCAAGAGAAGTTGATGCTGAGGACCGGGCAAGGGATCGGAAAGGGGGAGGCATTGGAGAGGAATAAATATGGAGGGGGACGCGAGATGCTTCGCCACCGTCGCACAGATGCTTCGCCCCGCTGCTCGCTATCGTCGCCCTGGTGCTTGCTATCGTCGCCCTGGAGCTCGCTATCGTCGCCCTGGTTGTCGCTATCGTCGCCTTGATGCTCGCTATCGTCGCCCTGGAGCTCGCTATCGTCGCCCTGGTGCTCGCTATCGTCGCCCTGCTGCTCGCTATCGTCACCCCGCTGCTCATATCGTCGCCCCGCTGCTCGCTATCGTCGCCGCACCGCTCGCTATCGTCGCCCCGCTGCTCGCCACCGTCGCACCCATTCCTGCCTGTCGCTACCGTTGCGCCTTTGCTACCGCAGATACGTGAGGAATGGAGGGGCGGGAGAGGAATAAGGACGGCAACGGAGGAAAACGAGCGCAATGCGCTTCGAATACGACAAAAAGGTGTTTACGAGGTAGGAAATTGCGCAGATATTCGTGAGCACATCAATAGACCATGAAACGCGAGAAATCTTAGCGGAAATGGCTCTGCGTAGCTCGGAAAACGCACTTCAAGTTAGTAAGAACCTAGTTCAAGCGTGAGAGTTTGCCGAGTTTGAGTTGTTTTGAGTTCAAGTTTGAATTTTCAAGTTTGCTGCATGCGCTCCCCCTCAACTCGTTGAGCGGAGCTTTTCCCCGACCCCTCCCCCGTTTCCCCCCCACACACATCATACTGCGAAGGACTTTTCCGCACGCCCTTCCCCCGCTGGCAGAAACCTCTCCCTGCTCGCTTTCCTGTGTATACTGGGTTACGCGGCTTTCAAACTATAATAGTTTGAACTGGAGCCCGGATATCTGCACCGCGGCTTTAACCGACTCCAAAATGAACTCGGCAAATACGTTTTCAGAAAATAGGGTCCACGCCCCCACTGCTCGCCCCCACTGCTCACAGCGAGGGGAAGAAGACCTCCGCCACTAACGACCCAATCTTACTTCGAAGGATATCTGAGATTTTTCATTAGCGGATTAGTGAGATAATCCACTGCCTAATAAGGCCAGCATAGTGTTATCCAAGAGAAAGGTTTTGTTAAATCGACCTTTAATAAGCCTGAATGAACGCTATTACCGTAGTATAGCCTGAATGAACATGAATTAACGCTATAACCGTAGTAGTTTGAAGTCCTAGAAAGTCAATCGAGGCAAACATTTACATGAAGATAGCCATTCACGTACCTAAATTGGTATAATGTATGCAAAAATCAATAAAATAATGTGTCCTTTGGTGAAATTTTGCGAAGTTCGAACTCTAACCGCTTTGCACCGTGGTGAAACATTTCTCAACTGTATCCTACCGTGTAAAACCTCTCTAAAAGTTCGAACTTAGGCAAAAGTTTGACCCAAAGGACACACGCCCTAAGAATTCTTGTTACAGATCGTTATGAAGCCGTCCTCCACCCTAACGTGGCTTTCAAGCGCAGCCTAAGGACCAAGGACGAGCGGAAAGACCTTGATGCAAAACGAGACTTCTAGCTGCTTACCCCGTTGCCACGAGCGTAGGCTAGGGCTTCCGTCCTAACAAATGCAGTCGCAGGAGCAATATATATACGACACACGACAGCAACGCTAGGCTGCATCCTCGTGGTTCCCTTGAAGCACCGCATCACCCCACCGCGTGCGTGGAGCACCACCGTTGCTGGCCACAATGCCACACCCCTGCCCACACCACCCAAAGACTTGCAAGGCTTTCTGAAAGTTTCTCGCACTGCCCGACCTTCAACCATGCGGGCCGTCGTCGCGTCAGAGCGCGCCATATGCACGGCTCGACTGCTCGCCGCTGCACTGTTCGCGTGCGCGCTGGGCCTCGCGTCCGACGCGCTTACCGGCGCCGTGCAGCCTCCGCGTCTCGCGGGGTCGTCCTCGCATCACCACGTGGCGGCGGCGCCGGTTCGCGTGCGAGCGGCTGCAAGTCTGATTGCGGCGGCTGTGAGCGGGGGAACGGGGGAGCGGCACGCCGCTGCGCTGGCAGGCGCAGCGTTGAGTGGCGCCCTCGCGCGCCTCTTTCGCCGCCGCCAGGACCCTTCTCTGCGCGCTGACCCCGCCTGCCGTCCCGACCCCGCGCACCGTTTCATCCCTCACACACCTCCCTCGTTGCCCGTCCCCGCCAGTGATACCCCTCCGCTGCAGGCGCAATGTGTGGAAGAAGTGCCGCAATGCGCGGATAGTAGGGCTCCGCTCTTCCCCGTTCTCGAAGGTAGCGCACAGCTTTCCCGCCATAAATCTCTCCCCACCTCGTGAAATCCTCCCCTCTTCACCTACCCCTACCCCTTCCCATACCACCACTCTTACCAATCTCACTGCAATCGCCAATCCTGCTGCTCTCCATCATTCCTGCTTCCAGTCACCTCCTTCGCCTCCCTGCCCGTTCACCCTGCCCGTTCACTCTGCCCGTTCACTCTGCCCGTTCACTCTGCCTGTCCACCCTGTGCCCAGGCGTGCTGGAGGCCGCCGTGCTGCATCTCATCGTTGCCGCCGCCGCGCCTCTCCTCCCGCGCCTCCCCTCGCCCGCCACCCTCACCCCCCACCCTCCCGGCCATTCTCCTTTCGTGGCTGCAGCGCTCGCCCCACCGGCCCTCGCGCTGGCCCGCCTGCTGCTGCTGCTCGCCGCCACGGCCGCCGCCACCTCCTCGTCCTCCTCGCTCCTCCCCCTCCTCCTCCTCGCGCGCCCCGCCTCGGCACCCCCTGCCTTCTGGGCGCGCGCCCTGCGCCTGCTGCTGGCGGACCTCGTGGCGCTGCTGCTCGGCGCGCTGCTGCTGCCCCTGGCGCTCGCGCCTGCTGCGCCACGCGCGCACACACAAGGGGAGGGGGAGGCGGGTCAGGCGAGGGGGGAGGAGGGCACACTGGGGCAGGCGCAGGCTGGAAGGGAGGGGGGACAGAAGGGGTGCGGGGAGGAGAGCGAGGGCATGGCGCAGGGAGGTAGTGGGGAAGGCAGTGGGGAGAGCAATGGGGAAAGGGGATGGGCGGAGGGGCTGTACGTTAAGGGGGGGACGGCTCATGGCAGGTGTGGGGGAGGCGTGGCGGCGAGCAGTGGGGGCGGCGGGGCATGGGGCTTGGCGGTGGTGTGCGGGGTGGTGGCGGGCAGCTGTGGCGCTCTCCTCTCAGGCGCCCTCTCCGCCTCCCATGCCGCCCCGCTCACCGCCCTGCTCGCTCCCACCCTCCTGTGCTGCGCCGCCCACTCGCCACGGTAACCGCGTGGCCACGTTGACAGCGCCGCCTTGCGTGATTGCTTTCCTGTTGCTCCGCCCTCTGCTGTCATGCCACTCCTCATCTGTTGGCTTCTCATGCGCCAACCTGACCGCTCTCTGCATGCGCCCGCATTGAATGTGTTGATCCGCGTCTCCCTCCCTCCACCAGCCACCTTGCAGCCGCCACACTCGCACTCTCAGCATCGACCCTCTCAGCCGCGTCCGCAGGGTTGGGCCCTTTTCACCGCGCTGAAGCCACTCTTCAGGTGATTGGCACGAGGGTGCTACTGGATGGGGGTGGGAATGGGGGAGAGGGTGGGAGTGTGTGTGTGTGAGGGTGCTCACGTGGGTGGGTGGATGCCACACCCCAGCCAGCCACAGCCCCTGTAACGCGTCCCACTGCTTACACGTATCCTCCACTACCCTTCACCTGCACCATCCCCACCCCAATTCTCCCTGGCCCCTCGCAGCTGCAGCTCTTCCTGCTCGCCCTCCTGCTGCTCGCCCACCTGCTCCTGCCGCTCTCAACCGCCCTCCATCTGCCCTGCATCACCTGCTGCCACACCAACACGTGAGTTATTGCTCTTGCGCCTACCAATCCAATCCAACCACGCATCACTCCGTGCGCCCACCAGTCGATACATCTCTACCAATTCGCCTCCCTGAGCCCAATCCCCTCATCCCTGCGATGTGTGGCATGATGCGTATTGCACCCACTGCGGTTCCTCCCCCCACTGCCGCTCCCCTCCCCCCCCCCTCCCGCACCCTCATGCTTGATGTCGCTGGCGGGCCGGCCCTCAGAGCGGAGAGGGCAGAAGCAGAACGGGCAGGGCGAGAGGCAGTGCTGGAGAGCCAGGTGGCCGCGCTGCACGGCCAGCTGGCAGCCCTGCAGGGCGAGGTGCGGCACGAGCGCGAGGCGGCGCGCGCGGCAGGGGAGGCGGTGAGGGCGGCGGTGGAGGCGAAAGTGCAGTTCATGGCGAACATGAGCCATGAGATCCGCACGCCCATCCACGGCATCCTCGGCATGACCGACCTCGCCCTCGACTCCCCCCTGCCCCAGGACGCCCGGGAACACCTTGAAACCGTCCTGCAGTCCGCCAACCACCTGGTAACCACCTGGTTACCACCTGGTAACCGCCTGGTAACCGCCTCAGAGCTCGTATTTTGGCCACCTCACAATTTTTTTTCCCATCATCATTTGTATCTCTTCTGATGTGTCGTTATTTCTTTCCTGCCCCCCCCCTGCCCCCTGTCCCCTTGGTGCGTGCGTGCATGGGTGGGCACGGGGGCGTGCAGCTGCTGGTGGTGAACGACATTCTGGACATCACCAAGCTCGAGGCCGGCCGCCTGCACCTCGACTGCGCGCTCTTTGACCTGCGCGCTCTCCTCAACGGCATCATGACAATGCTTGCCGCCCGCGCCGCCCTCAAGGGCCTGGCCTTCCAGTGGGAGGTGGATGCTGCCGTGCCGCCCGTGCTGCTGGGCGATGCCGTGCGCCTCCGACAGTGCCTGGTACGGACGGCTGTGATGCTCTGAGGTGCCTCCGACAGTGCCTGGTACGGACGGCTGTGATGCTCTGAGGTGCCTCCGACAGTGCCTGGTACGCACGGCTGTGATGCTCTGGTGCCCCCGACTGTGCACGTTGCTGGCAGGTCGTTGTTGTTGATTGCTGATGGTATGTTGGGGGAATCTCATCTCATGGTGTCGCATGATGAGTACATGGGGTGCTGCAATGAAACCATGTGTGTTCCTTCATGCCTCACTGTTCCCTCTGCCACCGCTGCCTGTGCTGTGCTGTGCTGTGCTGTGCTGTGCTGTGCTGTGCTGCGCTGCGCTGTGCTGGGAGGGCAGGTGAATGTAGTGGGCAACGCCATCAAGTTCACGGACCAGGGCAACGTGCACATCACAGTGCATCCCTTCTCCCCCTCCCTCCTCTCACCTACCCTCTCCCTCATACCGCTTCCCTCCTCCCACTCCTCTCCCTCCTCCACCACCATTTTTCCTCCTCAAGACCTCACGCCCTCTCACCTGTCTCCCTGCAATTCCTCCTCCGCCTCCTCCTCCTCCTCCTCCTCCTCCTCCTCCTCCTCCTCCTCCTCCTCCTCCTCCTCCTCCTCCTCCTCCTCCTCCTCCTCCTCCTCCTCCTCCTCCTCCTCCTCCTCCTCCACCACCACCACCACCACCACACTCAATTCCTCTGCTGCGTCCGCCTGTGCTACCGGCCCACCCCCCTCGCCCTCTGCCCCTGCTGCCCCTCATGGCACTTCTCCTGCGCGCAGCGACGCGGATAAGGGGGGCGATGAGGGTAATGGGGGCAAAGGGGGCGACGGGGGCAGTGGGAGAGGGTCAGAGGGAGCAGCAGCGCAGGGGGGAGAGGGAGTGGCGCTGCTCTTCACCATCACTGACACGGGCGTTGGTGAGTTGACACGGGCGTTGGTGAGATGACACGGGCGTTGGTGAGTTGACACGGGCGTTGGTGAGTTGACACGGGCGTTGGTGAGTTGACACGGGCGTTGGTGAGTTGACACGGGCGTTGGTGAGTTGACACGGGCGTTGGTGAGTTGACACGGGCGTTGGTGAGTTGACACGGGCGTTGGTGAGTTGACACATGCTGTGTGTTTGCCACTCCATAACGATTTTCTCTGCATGCATTGCTGCTTCACCCAGTCTTTTCCCACCTCTGTCCTCCTCTGCCCTGCACCCGCGCCCTCTGCCCCATGCGCTGTGCTCTCTCCCACGCCCTGCCTCCCGGGTGGGCGGTAGGCATAGCGGCGGGCGAGCAGAGGCGCATCTTCTGTGCGTTTGAGCAGGTCGACTCGTCCATGTCGCGCCAGCACGGCGGCACGGGGCTCGGCCTCTCCATCACCTCCCGGTATGCCCCCCCTCTCCATCACCTCCCGGTATGCCCCCCCTCTCCATCACCTCCCGGTATGCCCCCCCTCTCCATCACCTCCCGGTATGCCGGCCCCCACACACCCTTCCCCTTCCCCCTCTCCTCTCCCTTCTCCGGAAGCCCTTGTATTGTCGCTGCGAGCGTGTGTTGTACTTTGTCTGGAAAGGCATGCTACACGCCCAGCCAGGTTGAGGCACAGGCACGTACAGGCAGGCAGAGGCAGGCAAAGCCGCAATGTTGATTTCTGAACTTTGTGTGTCTCCCACCTGCAGGCTCGTTCAGATGATGGGCGGCAGCATTTGGCTGCACTCGTCTCCTGGCGCCGGCAGCACCTTTGCCTTCTCTGCCACCTTTGCTGCGCCGCCCGTCTCCCCCTCCACCCCCCATGCTGCCCTCCCCCCGGCCCCACGGCGCACGGTGAGTGCGGAGGAGCTGGACGGCCGCCTGGCGCTGGACGCCCTCTCGCTCTCGCTGCTGCCCTCCCTCGTGCTCCACCGCTCCTCCTCCCGCGCCCTGCCTCCCCCCCTCTCCCCCTCCGCCGCCTCCTCTGCTGCCAGCGCTGCCGCACCCCTGTCTGCGCGCTCGCCTGCTGCCGCCCGCATGGGGTTCAGCTTCCCAGGGCAGGCAGACGCCGCCTTGGACGGTGCAGCAGGCGGGGCAGGGCAGCACGGCGCATGGGAGAGGGTTGCAGCGGCAGGGCGAGGTGGAGGCGAGGGCGGACGCATGGATGCCAGAGCGGACGCAGCAGGGGGTGCAGGTGGTGGGGGTGCGGCGCAGGGCAGGGCAGGGCGCAGCCGGCGGCGAACACAGAGTTTCACGTGTGGGGATGCGAGCACAGGGCGCATGCTGGAGGAGGTGCTGCGGCAGGCGGGCAGGGAGCAGCACGCAGGCCAGCTGCCCTCCAGCAGACTCGCTGCTGCTGGCCCCCACGCCCATACCCATGCCACCGCTGCCCTTGCAGCCACCTCTGCACTGGTTGGTGCGAGGGGCAGCATTGGTGGTGGTGAGGAGCGTCGCTGTGACGAGGCTCATGTTGGCATGGGCTCCCGCGTTGACAGTGCGCAACAGAGCAGCGGCAGGGTTACAGCCGTAACAGCAGCAGTGGCAGCCGCGGCAGCGGCAGTGGCAGCAGCGGCAGCTGTTGCAGAAAAGGGTGCAGAGGAAGTCTCCTCAGGTTCAGATGGGTGGATGTTTCCATTCGGTCTTCGTGCTTCTCATGACCCTCATCCACTCCCCCTGCAGCAGCAGCAGCAGCAGCAGCAGCAGCAGCAGCGGCAGCAGGTTGAGGAGGGGAAGCAGCAAGAGCAGGAGCAGCAGGGGCGAGTACCAGTGGGGCAGCTGGAGAGGAGCAGCAGCGAGGGCTTTGCCATGCGGCGGCGGCATCTGCTGGTGGTGCGCGGGCGCACGCGGTCCCTCGAGTGCATGGGGGCGCGGCAGGCTCAGGAGTGGGCCGGTGCGCGCTCAGAGCACACTGGGGACGCGCAGGGCGGGCAGAGAGAGGGCGATGCGAGGGGCACAGGCGGCGCCCCAGGCAGCGGAGCAGCAGTGGCGGGCAGAGAGGGTGGTGGTGGGCATGGTGGCGAGGAGAGCCGGCAGGGGAGCAGCAGCCCTGGGGTGGAGGTGCCTCGCCTGCCATCGTGGAGCCCGCGCATGGCAGGCAGTCCGCGCACAGAGGGGGGCATGGGGGGCAGAGTAGCAAGCAACGAGCCCAGAAGCCCCCATGCACAAGCAGGTGCGGCTCGTGCTGCTGCTGCAGCTGCTGCTGCTGCTGCTGGTGGCATGGACAGTGGTGGCGCGGAGGCGAGTGTGGCAAAGCTGAGCCGCGTGGTGGAGAGGGAGGACGAGGGGCTCAGTGAAGATGATGCCCCCGCGGCCCGCACAGCGCAGCAGAGCAGGAGAGAGGCGCGTATGCTGCGAGGCAGCGCTGGGCGCCTGTCGGTGGAGGGCGGCGTGGCGGAGCTGCAAGGGGCGCGTGCAGGCGGTGAGAGGGAGCAGGGCGGCGCTGGTGTGCTGAGAGAGCAGGGCGCAGGGCAGGGTGTGGGGAGGGCGAGAGGAGAAGAGGAGCGGTTGAAAGGACTGAGTGCATGTGAGGAGGACGAGAGAGAGGAGTTGGGACAGAGAGGCCGGAGCGGGTGGCAGGGCCCTCCCTTGTCGGCGGGTGCGAGTGGGTGGTCGACGGAGGCAGCAGCTGAGATGCGCCCCAGCGTGAGCTTCAAGGAGAGTCTCTCTGCACACCGCCATGAGGGGGGGGAGCCCTTGCAGGCAGCGCTGGGCAATGCCAGCCCTGACCCCTGTGAGGCACTCAGTCGTGGCGGTTCGAGCAGCAGTAGTGGGGATGCAGCCGCAGCTACAGCAGAGGCGGCATCAGGCAGCAGGGCGGGTGCATGCGGGTTGTTGGGACGGCAGAGGCAGCTGCGAGTGCAGCACCTCACCTTCCAGCTGCCTGACGACACCTCCCCTGCGCACTCGCCCTCCACCCCCACCTTTGACTCGCGCCGCCCGTCCCTCAAGCCGCCTGCTCATGCACCTGCGCCCGCTGCCCCCTCCGCCATCTCACCGCGCCCGCCTGTGTCCCCGCGGCGGCCTTATGGGGACGCGGCTGAGCCCAGCACCATGGAGGCCATCTACGCGCGCATCCAGGCCCAAGCTGCCGCCTCGCGCCCCCTCGCCCCCACGCGCTCGCCCTCCACCGCCGCCGCTGCAGGCGACGGCGCGCGCAGCTTGGCGCGCGGGAGGGAGCCGCCCGCCCTGGACGTGCCGTCCACACCGTCGTCCTCCGCACGCCGCGCTGCTGGAGGGGGCCTGCTGCGCCAGAAGTCAGGCGGGATGGCGCTGCTGCAGCGGCAGGGCACAGGGGTGGGGCGGCAGGGCGGGGGGCTGGTGAGGCAGGGCACGGGGCTGGGGCGGCAGGCGAGTGTGAAGATGAAGCAGAAGCCGGTGCGCGCGGCGAGCCCGCGGGCCATGCTGTCGGCTGTGGCGCTGAACATCCTGCTGGCGGACGACAGCGTGGTGAACCAGAAGGTGGCGGTGCGCTTCCTCAAGAAGAAGGGCATGGTGGCCGACGCCGTGGGCGACGGCGCTCAGGCCATCCAGCGCCTCTACCCCAAGGATGGCGGCATCTCGCCCTACGACCTCCTGCTGCTCGACGTGCAGGTGCGACCTCCTGCTGCCACACGTGCAGGTGCGACCTCCTGCTGCCACACGTGCAGGTGCGACCTCCTGCTGCCACACGTGCAGGTGCGACCTCCTGCTGCCACACGTGCAGGTGCGACCTCCTGCTGCTTGACGTGCAGGTGCGACCTGCTGCTGCTCGACGTGCAGGTGCGACGTGAAAAAAGGAGTGTTTTGAGACGTCTCAAAACACTCCTTTTTTCACGCTGCTCGACGTGCAGGTGCGACTTCCTGCTGCCACACGTGCAGGTGAGCCGACAGCCGTGCGTGGTGCACGTTTGCCAGATCTATGCAGGTGAGAGATACCCCAGCTTGGAGGGCGAAATCCCAAATCATACGGTCTGAAGGAAGTATTAGTCACCAGTGTATCCCTTTCTTACATGTATTAGTCACCAGTGTATCCCTTTCTTACTTGTAATATTCTTCTTGTGTGTGTGTGTGGTTGGTTGAGCGTGGGGCCCGGGGCGCAGATGCCAGTGATGGACGGACTTCAAACAGTGCGGGTTATTCGTGAGAAGGAGACAGCAGAGAAGCTTCCCCATCTTCCAGTCATTGGTACGCTGCTGCTGCATTCGTGTCCCTTTAACATGCTACTTACGTGGCTGTGCCCATGTTGCTCATGTGTCACAGTACATGGCTTACATGTTCATATGTGCCAACCCAAACCCCTGGCTGTAGCCTCATGTCCCTCGGCTGTGGAGGGAGCTGGTGCATGCCTGAGTGCGATCTGCCCCCCCCCTGCCTGTGTGAGCAGGGCTGACAGCGCATGCGGCTGACGTGTACCGCGACCAGTGCATCTCCGCCGGCATGGACGGCTTCGTCTCCAAGGTAACCGCACTCTCCGCAACTCCTCCCCCCTTGCTCCCCTCCCGCGCTTCACCCTCTCTGTGTGGATGCATGGATACACAGTGATGCCTTCCTGGATTCGCACATGTAGAAGCATGCACGGACACACATTCGCACCCCATGAAACTGCACACACGCAGGCAAGCAAGCACACAGTTTAACAGTCCTGAGCACAGCATTGAGTTATTGATCCATTTACTGATCCAGCTACTGATCCAGTTACTAATCCATTTTCCAAATCTCCTCCCTTTCCCACCAGCCATTCACTGTGAATCAGCTGTTGAGCATGATGCAGTCCGTGCTTGAAAAGTATTCTCATAAACGATTGCCACCTGAAGCTATGGCATCGTAACAGGCAGCACTCTTATAGGCTATTTATAGTTGAGAATTTCCTTGCAAGAGAACCCTAGTCCATTCATGGTTTAAAATTTCTTTCGCAAGAGTAACACAGCCCAATTACCGTATCACCCCGGATAGTAGCGTATAAGCGCTTATAATAAAATCTGATTTTTTAAGGGGGCCGCTTCTAATTGAGTATGGGGCATAAGCGCATGTGCTTATAGTTTCATTGTTATGAGTTGTAAAAGAGAGTGCGCAGGTAAACGAATAACGAGACTGTGATTAACTGATCTGAGAATACCGTCATACCCTGGATATACCCCCATGGGGGGCACTAATAAAACATGTTTTTTGTGGGGGGTGGGCTTATAATATAGTAAATTTATAAGCGCTGGCGTTTATGTTTTGTCAAAAATGATTTTTGTTTTTAAGAGCGTATTCCTATCCTCGTATCAAGAAAACCTCATATCAAGATTGTACTTTTTGCCTGGTAAAAGTAGCGAGAGGTTTTGGGTTTAGGGGAATTTTCAGTGGGAGGTTGATATGAGGTTTTCTTGATACGAGGATAGGAATACGCTCTTATTATACCAAATCGAAGCCCTTGTTAGAGTAAGGACCTTGGATAGAATAGGAGGTGCTTTTGGTAGAGTTGGTAGCGGAAGACTTGTAAGAACTCAGATCATAGTGAATGTAAATGACCAAGTTATTTAAAAGATAGAATACAAGAAATATAAATAGTCCTAGTCTAGCCATGTACTCTAAGGGGTACATTCCCTTATTATAACTGTTTTACAGGCAATTCTACAGTGACTCTGACTGTTGCACTACTTTCTTGTTACCGAGTCGCTGCATGTAACCTGTACGGTTACGCCTGTTGCCATTCCTCGATGGTAGGTCAAACGTCGGTCCAGATGGTCAACAGTCGCGACAGTTGACTCTTGCGACTGTTGACCTTCCTGCCCTTGATATGGGCTGATCCGATACTGCGGATGTTGCTGCTTCGATAAGGTCGGGTGCGATACTACTGCACCTACGGGAATGCCAAGTACAATTCCCTTCATACTCCAACACTCCCCTTCATTCCTGGAGATGCGCCACGTGGCTTTTGCGAGTGACTCCGCACAGATCCGAGCAGTACTGGAACTTCTGACGTGGCAGTTTCTTCGTGAGGAAGTCAGCTGCCATTTCGCCAGTTGGACAGTAGGTGAGCTGGACTTTCCCTTTGTCGATTTCGTCCTTCACGAAGAAGTCACGCAGGGCGATGTGTTTCGTGCGGTTGACGAAGCCTGGCTTGTTGGCGATTTTGATCGTGCTCTGGTTGTCGCAGAGTAACTTGAAGGACCCATTCATCGCCGTCTTCGTTTCCTGCAGGAGTTCCGTGAGGTAGAGTCCTTCGCGAACCGCCGAGCTTGCTGCGATGAATTCTGCTTCTGCTGACGAAAGGGCGATAAGCTCCTGTTTGTTGGAGTTCCAGGAGATGGTTCCTGCAGGCTCGAGCTTGAAAATGAAGCCTGTGCGGGACCTCCTGTTGTCTACGTCCCCAGCATGGTCCGCGTCCACGTAGCCTGTGAGTTGTAGAGGCACTGTTAAGTTGGCCTTGTAGGTGAGTCCGACGTCAGGCGTAGAGATGAAGTACTGTAAGGCGCGGCGCAGGTCGGCTAGGTTCTCCCCTTCAGGTCGGCGCAGGTACTGGGCGAGCTGGCTGGCGATATAGGACAAGTCCGGGCGGCATGTGACGGCGGCGAACAGTAGACATCCGAGCTGCTGCTGATAGAGACGGTGATCAGCCGGTGAGAGCGGAGTAGTGTCGGGCTCGTGGTTAGGCGAAGGAATGCGGAATGGGGTGGTTACACCGACGGGAGCTATCCCGAACTTCTTAGCGAGAGTCTCGGCGTACTTTGCGGCTGAGAGATGAATTGTGTCCGTGGTTTGAGTGATGTTGAGCCCGAGGAACTGAGTAACCTCGTGGTCGATCGTGACCTCCAGCTTCTCCTGAATTTCGCGTTCGAAGCGATCGAGCAGTTCGTTGTCGTCGCCGGTGTAGAGAAGGTCGTCGACGTAGGCGACGAGCAGAATGAAGTGGCCGCGGGATTCGAGGCGGTACATCCCCTGATCGTGGGGAAGCTGCTGGAAACCGAGCTCGATGAGAACGCCGTGAAGATGCTGCTGCCACAGGCGTGGTGCCTGCTTGATGCCGTACAGGGACTTTTGAAGAAGGCAAATGGCGTCTCCCTCTTCCTCGAACGCATGCGGCTGCTCGACGTAGATGACGGCGTCGACGATCGCGTACAGGAACGCGTTGGAGACGTCGATCTTGCGAAGCGGACGTTGTTTGACGGCGGCGATGCAGAGGAGAATGCGCACTGAGGTGTGACGACCGACAGGTGCGAATGTCTGGTTGTAGTCAACAAACTGTGTCTGCTCGAATCCGCGAACTACCCATCGCGCCTTGAATTTCTCGACCGTCCCGTCCGCCAGGGTCTTGATGCGAAAAACCCACTTTCCTGTAAGGATCTTTCTCCCCTTTGCGTGGCGGCGTGGTACCAGCTTCCAGGTTCCACGACGTTGTAGTGCAGCGACTTCTGCGGCCATGGCGGCTCTCCACTTCTCGGCATCGGGCCCGTTGAGAGCTTGGCGAACGGTGGTGGGCTCGACCAGCTGCTGGTTACCCCGTACGGCGACAGCGAGGCCGAGGACGCGAAGGCCCGTGAGGTTGGATTCGGCCGTGGTGGTAACTTCGACCACGTCGTCGTCATCACCAGGGATGTCGCGAAGGGTGTCGCGAGATGAGTCACGAGCTGGGTCTTCGCTCATGGGTGAGTGCATTTCTGCACTTGCGTAATCGTGTTGCGCTTGTAGTGCTTCGTGGGGATCGGTGTCTATTGGGAAGAATGTGGGAGTGGCGAACTGCTCCGTAACGGGGATGAAGGGTGCTGCGTCTGCTGCTGCTTCGTCTGGCTGTTCTCCTGCCACGTCAATGTCGTCTTCGTCATTGGCGTAGCTGTGCTGTCCCTGAAAGATGTTGTCCGGTGCGTTCTGTGCAGTGTGGTGCTGGCGGTACAGTGGCAGGGTCAGTCTTTCGTAGAAGATGCAGTCACGTGAACGCGTGAGCTGGTGGGTGGCGAAGTCCAGAATTGTCCAGGCGTGGTATTCGGATTCGATTTCGAGGTGAATGCCCCAGCGAGAGCGATCTTCAAAATTTCCGGTTCGGGCAGTGTGGGGGCGGTACTGTACCATACACCCGAAGACTCGCAGCATGCGTGTATCAGGGTGTTTTCCGGTCCACTCCTTGAAAGGCGAGCTGTTGTTGGGCAGTGCTTTCGAGGAAAGCATGTTGTGCAGCCGAACTGCATGCGCCATGGGGAAGGGCCAATACTTGGTTGGCACAGCCGACTGCTTCATGAGGGCTCGCATTTTTGTCGCGAGGCTCCTGTTGGTTCTCTCCGCCAATCCCTGCTGCTCGTGGGCGTAGGGCAAGGAGACCATCCTCTTGATCCCTCTCTGCTGGCATAGGGTTTTGAAGTCGTCCGACATATATTCCAGGGCTCCATCTGTCTGGAACGCCTTCAGCTTGTGATCGTCACTTTGGTTTTCCGCCATGGCGAGCCAGATTTCAAAACAGCAGAAGGCGAGGAGGCGATCCTTGACGTTCACGGCCCAGACGAAGCGTGTGCCGGCGTCGATGAAGGTGAGGGTGTACTGCTCCCCTCCAACTCCTTTCGCCGTGAGGACCAAGAAATCGCTGTAGACCTTCTCCAGTGGTTTGTATCGTTCGGCTCCGGGAATCTTTTCGGCAAAGGGCGTGTGGCGGAGCGCGGCTGCCGGACAGACAGTGCAGTTGGGTAGATCGGTTCGTGGTTTCAGCAGTTTACCATCGGGCAGCAACAGTGCGTCTGCCGCAAAGACATTTGCGTTGATGCAGTTGTTGAGCACCTCGATTGATGGGTGTCCCATGCGTTGATGCCAGATGTCTCCGTCAGCCCGATACCCCTTGGTGCGCGTGTACAGCTCCTTTTCTCGTGCTAATATCTCCTCTGCTGTTTCTTGCCTTGTTGCGTCCGTAGGCTCATCGGGCACGGTGACTTGAACTGCCGCTGCTTGAATTGTCACGCCATGATATGTACCGCCGGAGTCGCCGATGGCAGCAGTGTCCATTGTCACCGGCAGCTCTAGTGGTTTCTCTGGACGCGTGGGCGAGGGTCGTGCGTGACGATCTTCGAGCTCCGTAATTTCTTCTCCCTCGCGGTTGGTGTCGCCGATCGCCACTCCCCTTGTCTCGAGGCGAAGGTAGTCTCGGCCGTCTGTCGTGATGGGAAGCAGGCGAGGCCCGTACTCCGTTAGTGATTCCTCCTCCTCTGCTTCTGGTGCTTCTTCAGTGATTTCTGGTTCTGCTGCTTCTTCTGCAGGTGCGTCGGCGATGCGGTCCCATCTGGATTCAGCTGCAACGGCTTCTCCTAGTATGGTATTCTCCATGACCCAACGCATGTCGACCGCGTCCCATCCCTCGGTTGTGTTCCAGCCGGTGGGACGTTCGACAGGCGGCCAGTAAGCTTGTGTTCTCGTTGGTTCGATTGTTTCGACTGCCGTCCCTGATGTAGTCTCCTCCCCTTCTTCCACTGCTTGTGGTCCGGTTTCGGAGGGGT